CCCTCCCCAGGCCTTCACAACACTATTGTCTGTGTCCTTGGGTTATGCATATATATAAGTTCTTTGGTTAATCTCTCCCCAACCACCCTGCCACCCCAGACTTCGCTCTGAGAGTTGTCTGTTAAACATGGGTATGTTTCTTTTAACCTGAAAAGTACATCATTGTTTATATGTATTCTTATTAATATATTTTACCCAGGAAGATACACTTTAATTTTCATTTATCAGGCTTCTCCCACCCCTTTCCTCCTAAGCTTGGTTAACAAAAATAGTTTGTATAATCATTTCAAATTAATACATATCTGGAGAATCCAAGCAAACCTGATTATTTTTATTTACTTTAAAAATAAATCTTAGTGGTACCTAGTGGTCTTTCCAGTAATTCAATGATAGTTCAGTCATCAAAAGACATCTTAAGTAAAAAGATTTCCCAAGTTGGGGCATTTGAAAGTCTCATGAGACTCTATATCTGGTAATGCTTTGATTTAGAGGTAAAGGGTAGAGTGCAGCAAGGCAGTACAGGCAAACATGACAGGTTGGAGGGATGACCTCCCAGGCTCAGGCAACTCAGGACCCATATTCACGCACACAACATGCCATGTCTCCTGACTGAACCACCAAGATTGGTGTGCGGTATCTTAGCTCGGGCTAGAACACAAACCTGAAGTTCCCAGCATAGACTTTGATGACTCTGGCCACATAGTCAAGTCCAGCTAACTTAACTGCTTTAGCCAATTGTACACCATCAGTTAAAAAACTGAGCCGAACAACATAAACTGATGATCAAAAATAAATCCAGAGACATAGAAGCATCAAACAGACCATCAAACCTCAGAGGGAAGGCAAGGGAGGGTTGGGGGGAGAGATCAACCAAAGGACTTGTATGCATACATATAAGCATAACCAATGGACACAGATAGTAGGAGGGTGAGGGCATGTGCTGGAGGGTGGGAGCAGCCAGGGAGAGATGAATAGAGGAAAAAGGAGACATATGTAATACTTCAAACATTAAAGAATTTAAATAAAAAAGGAAGGAAGGAAGGAAGGAAGGAAGGAAGGAAGGAAGGAAGGAAGGAAGGAAGGAAGGAAGGAAGGAAGGGAGGGAGGAAAAAAAGGAGGAAGGAAGGAAGAGAAAATAAGTATAAACCACAAAAAACAAAAACAAAAAAAACCTGATCTGGGATGGAAGGGATTGCCAGGGAAATTTTACCTTTTAACCAATTGATCATAAAACTGTTCTCTTCTTGGCCAAGAGTCAGTAATGTCATCCTGGAGACCCAGAGATAAAGATAGAGTTTTTATCCCATCTGTAAATCAACTCTACTGTCCATATTGTTTTATTTTTCTGAATTTGGGGCCTAAATTTGGGAAAGACAAAGTCAAGTCTTTTAGGGAGAAAAGTTATAAATGTAAGATGAAAGAACCAGAGACAAGCACTAGTTATAGGAATTTTTTTTTTCAGGCAGTATTTTAAAAGCACATCACAAACACAAACAATAATTGTTAAAATGAGTTAAATGGCCCTGGCCGGTGCCTCTAAGTGGTTAGAGCGTTGGCCCACGGACCAAAGGGTCATGGGTTTGAATGTCGGTCAAGGGCACTTACCTTGGTTGCAGGTTCCATACCTGGCCCTGGTGGTCAGGGTGCCTGAGGGGGGACAACCAATGGATGTGTCTCTCTCACACTGATGTTCCTCTCTCTGTCTCTCTCTTTCTCTCCTGTCCACTCTCTCTAAAAATCATGGAAAAAAATATCCTCAGGTGAGGATTAACAACAAAAAGATGTAAATGTATGCCAGAAATAATGAGGGCTAATGGAATATTGGGACAATAAAATGTCTATGGTACAGAATAACTGACTTATTTTACAGAAAAAAATCTAAATTGTAATTTTCTTATTTGGTTCACTATAGATGTAATAATTTGTGATAAAGAATTTATCAATACTCCTTTACATGTAAGCATTTAGCAGAGATATATAAATATACAACTAGTTCATAAATATAAGGATTTTAATTTTAGTCTTAATATATAATAAATTTATAAGTATCTATACTAATAAAAGTGTAATGTGCTAATTAGACCAGACATCTTCTGGACATCCTTCCGGACGTCCTTCCAGACAAAGCCACGGTGGTGGGGACCGAAGCAGAGGCAGTTAGGGGTGACCAGGCTGGCAGGGGAGAGTAGTTAGGGGTGACCAGGCAGCAGGGGAGGGCAGTTAGAGGCGACCAGGCCAGCAGGGGAGGGCAGTTAGGGGCGACCAGGCAGGCAGGCAAAGTGGTTAGGGGCGATCAGGCAGGCAGGTTGGTGAGCAGTTAGGAGCCAGCTGTCCCGTATTGCGAAGGGGATGGGGTCCCGGAATGGAGAGGGTACAGGCCAGGCTGAGGGACCCCCTCCTCCCCTCAATGCACGAATTTTGTGCACTGAGCCTCCAGTTTTAAATAAAACTATGCTTATTATATTGAATTTATAATCATAACTTGCAACAATTTCTTTGATAAATAAACAAGTCATATTTATTATCTTATCCCTATATTTGTATTTTTCTGTACCTATTAACATAGGATAGTCAACAATTTACATTAATTTCTGTATTTAATCAAAGTAACCAATCATTTCAAAGAAATTAAAATTTTTCTTATGACAGAGGTAACTAAAGGCTATAAACCCAAGAACTGTCACACTACTATTTTTTAGTGAACATATCTTATATAATTTATATAAAAAATAAACATTATATAAATAAACATTATATAATATGATTCTAAAGACATTTATACATACTCTTAATATTATAGAAAGAATGAAGTAACAATGTTTCAATTGCAAGCATTTTTCAACAAGGAAAACGTAAAATATTTATTTTCCTGGAAACCATGTACTGTACATAACTCTTTAAAACTTTTTTTTTTTTTACTTTTGGAAACATCTGCTGTCTGTAAGTATATTCCGTATAGTCCTTTCTTTCTCTGTCAATTCTTATTATTTTCAGTTTTACACTAGAGAAAAAATACAATGTGCTCTGCCACCCACTTAGCACCAGTTAGAGGTGTTCTATTCTTTACTGATGCTGAAGGTTTCCATCTGTGCTCTGCCAAATATGTGTCCCCATAGTTCTGTAACATTTAACAACATGTGTGTTTGATGCTTATGTCAGGCCCATGTTATATCATGATTTAGTGAAGAGAATTGTACCTCAGGGGCTGAGGAGTCCCAGGGGAAGATGTGGTACATTTTGATCACCAAAAAGTAAAACTAATGAATTATTGCAGGCTCAATGTGGATAAGTTTGAGAATTAAAAACTCCAGATGGGATAGCAGTTCCAGGCAAGTTCCCACACTTCTGTGAGTTTCATCTCCAGAAATGCAACCAAATTCTCACAGTAAAGGTCAAAGGCAATTCCTCTCGTGCTTCTGGCTGGGAGAAGGGAGGAGTACCCTGTTCTTAATAAGGCCTCATCTCAAAAGAAACTTACTTCATCAGAGCCTAACATTTCACCAGGGTTAACAGACCTGGGGGAAGGAAAGTACCCAACTCCAGTCCCCTCTATCCCACGTAAGGGGGAGAATAGACGGAGAGCATTTGTGAATGTCATAGCTCAGGGCACAGCCTCACTAAAAGTCTGAGACCAAATTATAGGACTATAGATAGTTTCCCTTCCCCCACATCAATGGGGCTCCTTTGTGATAACAGGATTACAGCAGAAAGAACTGGAAGTCTCAGACTTTACTTAAAAAGAAATATTTAGGGAACCAAAAGACAACAGGTGAAGCACAATCAAGGACACAAAGAAATGTTAGCATCATGTATTTCTCAAGGAACACAGTTTATCTTTACTTGGTGAGAGATAACTCTTCTTTCCTGGAGAATGCAGGTAATTAATGTAAGAATTTCAATATCACCACCTAACAACTCCCATTAAATAATCAATTTAGGTAAACATCACAGTGGTTGGGAAAGCTTCTACATCCAAGTACAGTAGGCAACAAGGTAATTTGCACCATGTCAAACTATCCATCAACGAGAGAAACATACCCTTACATCAGTATTATCAGGCAATTACCACCTTAGTGGAGCAATCGATCTTAGTATGTCCTAATAACATCACCACCTGCCATTTTTTTTGCCTACTGATAAGATGACATGAATAAGTCATCCCTCATTAAAAAATATGTTTTTATTGATCTCAGAGAGAGGAAGGGAAAGGGAGAGAGGGGTAGAAACATCAATAATGAGAATCATTGTTTGGCTGCCTCTTGCACGCCCCTTACTGGGGATCGAGCCTGCAACCCCGGCATGTACACTGACCAGGAATAGAACCATGACCTCCTAGTTCATGGACAGTGCTCAACCACTGAGCCATACCGGTCGGCCAGTCCTCACTTTTTTGGCACTCTTGTCCAATACGTTTAACTTGAATCTAACCAAATCTTTTGACCCACCTTCCAGTTTACAGGTTGTTAAATTACCATGACTATATATTATGGGTGATTCTGATACTGTTGTAATGAACTAGTTATTACTAACAGAAAAGGGCCCTGGTCAGTGTTTCTCAGTGGTTAGAGTGTCACTAAAGGTTAGAGTGAACCTAAAGGGTTGTGTTTCAATTCTGGTCAAGGGCACATACTTGGGTTGCAGGTTCTCTGCCCTGGTTGGGGCGTGTGCAGGAGGCAACCAATTGATGTGGCTCTTTCACATCAGTGTTTCTCCCTCTCCTCTCTCCTCCTTCTCCTTCCCTTCCTCTCTCTCTAAAGTCAATGGAAAAAATATCCTCCAATGAGGATTAACAATAACAACAAAATAACAAGAAAAGAACTAAGGGAGGGTCAGATATTATAGGCATGTCATTTGGGCAGCTTTGCCAAGAAGCTACAACTTTACACTCCCTAGGGATCCAACCAAAGGGAGATAGATACATGCCCAGTAAAGCTGGGGGTGACATGGAAAAGGTGCTTACTGTCAGACACACTTGAGAACAAAGGTCATTGTCCAGAATAGGCTTGGCCACTACAAGGGTGTGAAATTTGGGATATTTAATCCCCTGAACAAAGGAGTTCACTCTCTTGTGCTTTTACTGCTCTTGGGACTTGTGTAACTCTGGGTTTGTGGGTCTCCCCTTGTGTTTGCCCGCATGGCACATGGCCATGTGGACCCCACACACAATGGACTAATGGACTGCAACTAGCCTGATACTGAACTGGACCAGGCTCCAACATGGAAAGGAAACACTGAACACTGGTTTTGCTTCTAGCTCTACTGAAACCCCAGCTACACTTCTTCTATGACTGGACTAAGAAATGGTGTTCCAATTATCTATTAGGAACGTATGCTCAGGTGACCCAGAGCGCCTCATTTGGATATACCAATACAGACGTCAAAGAGTACTTACTATTAATTTAATATGGCCGAGCTTAACCAAAAACTAAGACGAGAGAAGACACAGGGGGTAAACAATGCAAGAAATCACACAGGTTTATTTACCAGAGAGCTGATGAGTTTCAGTCCTTGGCAGGCCACCCGGAGACACTCGCTGACAGAGACACACGGAGGTCATCTAATACACCGCGGCAAGGAGCTCGGTCTCTTGACTCAAAGAGAGACCTCTTAACAGTCTGGGCTCAAAGGCAGAGCAGGAATGGCAGTTTGGCAGTTTCCAGGGGGGAGGAGAACGGCTGTCTGTGGAGGGCAGACAAACGTCTGACTGCGGCTGTGAGAGTCCTTCTTTTATACCCCATGGGTGGGCTTCTTCAGTGTCTCATATCAGTGTGCTCCGGTGGCCTTCTGGGCTTATCAGGATACACACGGAGGGGGTTACAAGGTACTTATCAGGAGTGCACACGCAGGGAGTTTAGAAACATCGATGAGAGAGAAACATTGATCAGTTGCCTCCTGCACACCACCCACTGGGAATGTGCCCGCAACCAAGGTACATGCCCTTGACCGGAATCGAACCCAGGATCCCTCAGTCCGCAGGCTGACGCTCTATCCACTGAGTCAAACCAGTTAGGGCTTCATACTATTATTTATTTGTTTGTTTTTTATTTTAGAAAGAGAGAGGAAGGGGGAAAGAGAGAGAGAAAGAGGGTGAAAGAAACATCAATTTGTTGTTCCATTTACGTATGCATTCATTGGTTGCTTCTTGTATGTGCACTGACCAGGGATTGAACCCACAGTCTTGATGTATTGGGACGTTTCTCTAACCAACTGAGCTACCTGGCTGAAGCTTAACATTTCATACCATTTTTTTTAAAGAATCTTTGTCTTCCCTTATCTAACATCTAGTGCCTCAAGAACTGTTTTTATGTATTTTGTCTGGTTTGTCAGATTGATTCAGGAAGGAAGTTAAATAAAGTCTCTATTGTCTGGCCGGTGTGGCTCAGTGGTTGAGCTTCGATCTATGAACCAGGCTGTCAGAGTTTGATTCCAGGTCAGGACACATACCAGAGTTGGGCTGGGAGGCAGCCAGTCAATGATTCTCTCTCATCATTGATGTTTCTATCTCTCCCTCTCCTCTCTGAAATCAACCTATCATTTTGGGTGTCCAAGCTAAAATGTTCTTCTACAGCCACATGGTGGCAATGTTGTAGTGATGAACAAAATTTTGTGGCTACTTAAGTTCCTGTTCTTTGTAGTTCAGATATTTTGTTTTGTAACCCACACCATCATTCTTTTAATAGTGTTTCTGTAAATGATGACTTGTAAATTCTCATGGAGTTACTGATAAATAGCCTGTATGCTGAAAGGATTCTAGGAGCTAACCTCAAAGGATGTGGGCTCCAGCCTCCAGGCATTTTGGCTCTAGGAGATTTGCTAAACCTTCCAGGAAAAAAACAGATTATGAGGAAAAACAGACCATCACGTGAGCATCTTTGAGATGGTTATCAGAGCAGACTGTGTTGACTGGAACCTTAGCACCCTTAATGAGAGCCCAAAAGCCCTTCAGGTTTCCTTTCTTCTGCCCCCTCCCCCGCCCCTTCCTAAAAGCCCTGTGTGTACTGAGGTGTTAAGATGGTCTTTGTGGTGAGAGTCCCCCATCTTCTCAAGCTTCCAGCTCCTGAAGTAAGCTGGTTTCCTTCCATGAGATCCTATTTCTTTCAAGAGGCAGGCAGCGAACCTGGGTTCAGTATTAGTTTCAAATTGTACCTTCCATCCTCCTTTAGGTGATCTCTGGCCTCCACCACCCTCTCTGTGATGCAGTGCTGACTGCATCCTAAGGGGAGGGCCCTACACTGGTCTGAGGCAAATGGTGGCTTGGGATATTGATTTTGGGCTGTTTACTAGGAATCAAGACTCAGAAAGAACCTTGGACCCTTCCTTCTTTTCTGTTCAAGAGATTCAGAGAAACCGACCTCATAACTTTAATTATGGTAAACTAGAGGCTTCAAGGAGGTGCCTGCTGGCTAAGTACCCACTGTTTCTGAGTCGCTCAGCAAGGATTTTCCTGCCATGTGTGTTCCGCTCTTCTTCATTACCCATTCTCTGTGTGAAATCCAATACTTCATTTCCCCTTTTTTCCTCCTTTGTCCAAAATGTCATACCTAATGGTGCCTCACTGTCTTGGGGATATTACAGATTTATCATGTCTATGTGATTTCCCCATGCACATGTATTAAACTTTGATTTTCTCCTGCTAATTTATTTCTGTTAATTTGGTTATTAGCCCAGCTAGAAGAACTTAGAAGGTGGGAGAAAACTATTAATATTTTTTACGCTGCACAATTGGAAGTCTTGAGGAATTTTCAAGATCTATTATTAAGTGAGAAAAACAAAATTTAGGAAAGTAAACACACACACACACACACACACACACACACACACACACACACACGGTGACCAATTTTCCCTAGATGCATGCGTATCTGTATAAAGTTAAATGAGCATAAAGAAAAGTGTGGAAAGATACATCCCAAGCTATTAATTAATGCAGTTAACTTGTGTTGGTGGCAAAAACGGCACCAGTTGTTACCTGTGATTGGACCTCGGTTCAGCAATCTCACATCTTGAGTTCTGGCTAAGAGAAGGATTCAGAGCCCAGACTCAAATGATAGAGAAAGTTTATTTAGAAAGTCACCGAGGTAGGAAAAATGAGACAGCTAGGAGTGAGCTCAGGAAACAAGTTACAGGGGCAAAAGATGGGTCCTTGAAGCTTAGGAGAAAGAAAGCAAAGTACACTTTAAGATTTGAGCAGGAGTGTTCTAGAGAGGGAGAACGCACTGGGTGCTTGGTGGGAGGGGTTTTATCTGGAGGTCTCTGGGAAGGATCTTAATAGAATATTCATCAGCTTTCGGGTGTGTCCTTGTGGTCTCCACTGATTGGTCAGTGCCAGGTCAGGGGGTCATTTGTCAATGCAGCTGTCCTGATGTCAGTCATGACATCTCTTGTCCGGTTTTATTGCTTTTTGGAGCCTGCAGCTTTGAAACACAACTGAGGTCTAGATGTACTTGATGAACGTCATTGTCATCAGGGTTTAACGCTTAAGGGCTGATCTCTGACTTCCTTGTTTTGGTCCCCCTCTAAGAGGGCGGAGGGTCTAACTTACATAACTAGCAAAATGCCAAAGGAGAAAAAGGCCCGGAAAAGGTCTGAACCACATAACCAGAGATATGAAAGGTCAGGGCTCTAAACTACATGACCAGTGATATGCTAGGGGAGGAGAGTTCACCCTGGAGCCCAAGGCTTTCCACTCTGGTGACCTTCTGTACCTGGCCTGTTCTTTCTCTGCTCTTGTTTGTTTAACTGTCTACTGTACTTTGTATGAAATGAGAGCCTTGGGGAAAAGCAATGGAAAAAAACTTCACAAAAAAATGGTTCAGGTTAGCCATAGCATGTGTAATATTTTAATTCTCTGGGGGGCTAAGAAAAACTAATAGTTTCCTCAGACCTTCTAAGTTCTTTTAGCTGGGATAATCAAATTTCAGAGACAGATTAACAGGAGAAAATAAAAATTGTAATACATGTGCATAGGGAATTCACATCAACATGAATATCCCAAAGACAGTGAAGCAACATTGAGTATATAAGACATCATGGTCAAGGGAGAAAAAGCGGGGGACAAGGGGGAGAGTGTGGGGAGACTGTAAGTGAGAATGGGCAATTTACAGAAGTTGAGGAAGAGCAGAATAAATTTAGCAGGAAAGTTCTTTCTAGGCAACTGAGAAACAAGGGACACAGGGTTATCTAAGGGGCCTGCGTAATGCTGGGGTGAAGATTCTATGATTAAGCCAAGGCTCCTTTGCTGAAGCGGGTTTTTCTATCTAAATCTCTTGGGCAGGACAAGCAGGGAGGGCTAAAGGTTCTTTCTGAGTCTTTTCTTTCTTAATAAGCAGCTTGAAATCAATATCCCAAAAAGCAGCTTTCAGGTAGAAAATCTTGGTTCCCTTCTGTCCCACTTGTATAAATTATATATTCTGTGTGGCTGCATGTCTCTGTGTGTATATATGTACATAGTGGATAAAAAGGGGCCACATACTCAACCTGAGAAGCTCAGGGCAGGCCAGCATAACCGCCCTACCAACTCAGAGACCAAAACCATACAGGATGCTCTGAACATAGAAATTCCTACTAAGAGCAAATCTTGGTGGGTAGTCACAACCTAGGCCTGTAACTTCCTTAACAAAGACCAATCTTTATGAGACCACAGAAACCCTCATTGTTATCTTGTTTCCTACATACCATCCCTATGTGTTGTAAATGTTAATTATTAGCTATCCAGTATCCACCAATGTAAAAGAAGTTGTATCTCCCCATTTCACTCCTTATTCAGTCCTACAGACTTCCCAGCTTTGCTTTCTCCCACCCCCTTAATCTACCACTAATGGATTTCATGAAACCCTCTTTACATCTCCTCCTTTGATTCTAATGTATAAAATAACCTGTAAAACTGCCATCATCCGGAACATTTTCTCCATCTGTTGAGATTTTGCTTCCTGGCAATTGTCAGTTTGGTTCAAATAAACTCATATATATGTTCTCCAGGTTTGGACATTTCTTACATCAACACATATGTACACATACTAGTATATCTGTGTATATATAAATATAGGTTTTCTCATATGTTTTCTGCCTTTTATATTATGGTTAGACCTTGCTCACACTAAAGTGATAAAATTATTTTATCCTTATTTTCTCGGGGGGCGGGGAGGTTATTTCATTTTACACTTATATTTTTAGTCCATCTGGAGTTTATTTCCATATAAGTTGTAAGGTGTGTTTTTTTTGGGGGGGGGGGGGTAATAAAATATTATTTTTGAACAACTAGCCAGCCAGTAGACTGTGAAAATAAAATGTCCTCTAATGTTTTAAAAGAAACAGTAGTGTGTTAGCAGGCTTGGTTAGTGGCACATTAATGCGAGCATGGACTTAGAATGTGACTGTGGCACCCAAAGGGGGTAGTTCAAGCTCTTCTGCAGGCAGCAATGGTAGAACAGGGCCAGTGGCCTGTCTGTGCCTGCAGCTGCTCCAAACCGTGGCAATAACTGCTGTTCACAGTGGCTCTGCAATTTCTGAATTTGCCAAGATGGGAAGAAGTTTACAGATTTTTATTAGATTTTCAAAGAATAGCCCTCTCCCTTGGCTTTCACAATCCCCTCTCTTAGAAATCTGGAGACACAGAGACACGCTTCCTTGACTGCAGAGTGGCACCACCCAGGACCTATCTCAGGGGCCAGTCTCCATGAACAAGCAGCATATCTGAAGTGAAGGCGCTTGTGCCTCCCAACACCGCTAGCTCACTGTCTTCCCAGGTGGACTTCTCGGAAGTGGGCAGCAGCTGCCCTCACCCTACCCTTTGTTTGATTCTTTTTTTTTCTTTTATAGATTTTATT